ACTAGGGATCAAGCCCTGGGATCTGCCTCAGCTACCACGAATTGGTGAATACCGTTTCAATGAATTGGTAACTGGGAATTTTGAATTTCTTTATTTCTGAATGTCGTAAAATTTTCCCGTTATTTCAAGATTTTGGACTTTTATATTTTTTTGGAAAATCTCTCCTAGCAGAAGTTTCGGGATTTTATTCCCAAGATCGAAATTTGTTGCACATACTCTCATCTGGAATTAATGCGGATTATTATTTTTTAATGCAGAATTAACGTGACTTGCAATTTTTTTTTTTTTTTTTTGCAGTTCCAGATTATTCTTTATTGTCATTAAATTGGTTGCAGTCTGAAATTTGATTTTTTTTTTTTTTTTTTCGGATTTCTTTTGCTGGGGATTGGGAGACCTGCCGAACTTGCAATTTTATTTTTTTTTATTATTTCAAAATTATTATTATTTCAGCAAGTTGCAACTTTTCATTTTGATTAGCGGCTCCTTATCTGGGTGATCAGTGTTCCCACCCACCCCATCCCTGTTGTTACACCCTTTTGCTACCTTTCTCTTCCTCCCACCTGTCCTCTTCCTCTCACGCCTGCGACATTGGCGAGTTGCCACACCAACAGGCCACGTCAGTCTCCTACAATACATGTCGGTGCTCACCCGCTCACATACAAGCGGCATGGAGCAGCAGCAAGGAGAGATACCCGAGGCCTATCAGGCCCCCATGCTGACCATGATGGCAGAGATCACGCAACGAGCAGAGGCGGCCACAACCGCACGAAAGAAGAGGAACGAGGAGGCCGAAGAGCAGCGTCGCCTCCCTGAGAGAACGATTGGAGGACGCCGACGCATAAAGGAAGGCTGCAGACCAGAACCGTTGACTACGCCGAGACAAACTCTTCGAAGCCGACGGGGACCTCGAGGTGATAGCCAGCGAATGGGCGATGGTTGTCGGAGAGGAGGATGTCCCTGCTGCTGTGTGTGCCCTTGCAACCACATTCGAACATATGACCAACTTGGTCGCCACATGCACCGCGCAACAAGAGGGCATGCTTTGCGTCGACACTTTGGTCAAAAAGCAGTCTCAACTTATTGCCGACCCGATTGACCGTGTCCACAGGCTGGAACAACAGCCTATCGTGGCCACAACCGCCGGACCCTCCAACTTGGCGGATCGCGTCAGCAACTTCGAAGTTGACGTCGGGACTCTCAAGGCCAGCGCGCAGCTGCAGCAACAAGCAACAAATCAACGGTTTGACCAGCAGATTTGAGCAGCCGCCGCCAGTCCTACCGCGACATCGAAGTTTGATGGCCTGCTGATCTTCTGTGATGCAACGAACACGGACCCGCTCCCTTGGTGGCGCAAGTTTGAACTGAAACTGGACATCCACAAAGTCAGCGACGCCAACAGACATGCGTACTTGTACTCCCGATCAGGGGCCACGTGCCAAGCATGGCTGGACAATATGATGTCCACGCACACTGTCGCAGTCTCCGAGATGCACACAATGATCAGTTGGTCTGATCTCAAGGCAGCATGGCATAAGTCGTTCCAAGAGGAGTCGCCCGGGCTTCAGACGGCAGAGAAACTTCATAAGTTCTATTAGAACACACAGCCAAGCGCAGATTGGATCACTGAGTACCAACGATTGGCATCCACGCCCAACTTGCCGATGACCTTTCCGAGCATCAAGCACTTTTCATCACGAGGTGTTGTCCGGCGTTGCACAACGCCTTGATGCAAGTTGCGGAGACGCTCACCACAAGTGAGCAGCTTTTTGACAAAGCCTCGCAGATCATCGTGACAAACACCGAGGCCAAGAATTTGGGCCGTTCGTCTGCTGCGAGCCTGGGCAAGGATCATCATCAACCGACAGTGGTCGTGGTTGCGGCAACAACGCCAACCGACCCTTCAAACGAGGCTGGCTCTTCTGATGAAGGAGACAAAATGGCAGCCGCTTGGGATGGTGGCCGCCCCGCCAAAGGTCGAGGGCGCGACAAATCGAAGACACACACCACTTCATCCTCCGGGGCCGGACCAGCAGCTCAAGAACCTTGGACACATTACGATATTTCAGAAGGCGTCTACTGCATCCATACAAAGTACCGGTATTGTCTGTGGTGCAATAGCGCAGTGCACGACACCGCGAAATGCCCCACGCAAGTCAAAGGGAAATTCCCTTCAGGAAAGTGAGCACCGTCGAGAGTGATGCGACTACACTCTTGACGCCTTTGGAACCAATTGCTTCGCGAGCAACCTCCCTTCATTCCGTGGCACATGTGGAAGTCGATAGTCCTCCCATTTATTCTTTTGAGGACTACGCTGCCCGACTTGTTCGTTCACTGGGTCCTCAAGCTCAAGGACAAGATGAAGTCATGGATAATTTCGCACTTCAGGGGACTTGGGAGGCCTACTGAACTTGCAAACGAGTATTTTTTCTTTATCTCGATTTTTTTTTGCAAAGTTCAAACTTTTCTTTTTTGATTAGTGGCTCCTTATCTGGGCGATTTATCCCACCCCTCGCCACCTATGTTGTTGCCCCCTCTGGTCTTCTCTATCTCCCTCCGGGTACCCCCTGCTGCGGTATTGGCGAGTTGCCACGTCAGCTGGCCACATCAGCAGGACACAACAGCAGTGCCACGTCAGCAACCAGTCACCACAGCAGCAGGTCATGTCAGTGCATCGTGCTCACCCGCTCAAAGACAGTTGCATGGATCAGCAGCCAGGCGAGACTACCAAGGCCTATGAGGCCCTCATGCTGGACATGGTAGCAGAATTCAAGCAACGGGCAGCTGCGACAACATCCGCATGTAAGAAGGAAGATGAGGAAGCAGAGGAACAACATCGCCTCGCTGAACAGCAGCAACAGGCGGACGCTGAGGCAGCAAGGAAGGCCGTAGACGACCGTCGTCGACAACGCCGAGACAAACTCCTCGAATGCGAGGGGGATATCGAGGTGATCGCCAACGAATGGGCAGTGGCTGCTGAAGAGGGTGCCCCCTCTGCTGTGCGTGGCCTTGCAAGCACAATCGAACATATGAGCGACTTGGTCGCCACCTGTGCAGCACAGCAAGAGGACATCCTCTGCGTGGACACCCTGGTCCGGAAGTAGATTCGAATTATTGATGAACTGCTTGACCGGGTACGTCGGCTAGAACAGGAGCTTGCAACAGCCAGCCCCGCCGGACCCTCCAACTTGACGGACCGTGTCAACGTCTTGGAAATCGACATCGAGACTCTCAAGGACGGCGCTCTAACGACAAATCAGCGGATTGACCAGCAGATTTGCGCCGCCGCAGCCAGTCCGACCGCGACTAATCGCGAGGGCATCCCGAAGTTTGACGGCCTCCCGATCTTCTGCGATGCAACAAAGACGGACCCGATCCCATGGTGGCGCCAGTTTGAGTTGAAGTTGGACATTCACCACGTCATCAACCCGAACCGGCACGCATACTTATACTCCCGCTCAGGGGGCGCGTGCCAGGCATGGCTGGACAACATGTTGTCCAGGCACAACGTCGAAGTCTTCGAGCTGCATACAAAGATCAGCTGGGCTGATCTCAAGGCAGCATGGAATAAGCGGTTCCGAGCAGAGTCGCCCGAGCGTCAGGCAGCCGATAAACTTCAACGGTTCTATCAGAACGACCTGCCAAGCACGGACTGGATCACCGAGTACCAACGCTTGGCATCCATGCCCAACTTGCCGTCGACAAATCACGACCGCAATGCGCAGCACTTTACGACCATCTCCACACATTCTTAGCCTTCTATGCACCACCATCTTCGTCGACGGATGACGAAGTTGCGTTGGGGGGCATCCTTGGGTATGTTACCAAGGTGGCCCGCGAGTTTCGCATGCAGCGGTACGATGATAACAACGCACCGCTCTTTTATGTCCGCATCCAAGTTGGGCAAGCGTCCAGCAGCGCTTTGCTGGATAGCAGCGCGACTCGCAATTTCATCAGCCAGTCCTTTATCCAAAGGGCCGGCCTTGGCGCTCAAGTTCGAAAGAAGCCAAACCCGACGGCGATCAAGTTGGCGGACGATCAGACGCAACAACTCCTCGATCGCTACATTGAAGTCGTGTCGGTTTATTTCGCACCTCATGCATGCGAACCGGTGACGTTTGACGTCTTAGACACGGACTTCGACATTATTTTGGGGATGCCCTTGCTTGCAAGTGCGGATCACACGGTTAACTTCCATCAGCGGACACTTACCGTTCGCGACGCCTTCGACACCGAGGTGTCGTGTACCATTCCTCTTCCGCACTCCTCGATCCGATGCCAAGTCGTAACGGCCAAGTCTTTTCGGGCCACTTTCGCTTACGGCCGGACCTACGAGATAGGCCTATGTTTTCTACGAGTCGCCACGACGACCAAATCTTCACCTACGGACTTGTCTTCAGACTCCCGAGTGGTGCGGCTGCTCGACGAGTTCACAGACATCTTCAAGTCTCCTACCGGTGTGGTGCCGGATCGGTCGATCTCCCACGAGATCATTCTTGAGGCCGGTGCCGCACCGCCGAAAGGATGCATCTATTGCATGAGCGAGGAAGAGCTCGCGGTTCTCCGCGCGCAACTCGACGATCTGTTGGACAAGGGCTTGATCCACCCTAGTAGCTCACCATACGGTGCGCCAGTTCTTTTTGTACGGAAGAAGAACAAGGATCTTCGCTTGGGCATCGACTACCTCAAGCTCAACGCACAAACCGTCAAGAATGCGGGGCGGATTGACGACCTTCTCGAGCGGTTGGGCGGTGCAAAATTCTTCTCAAAGTTGGACTTGAAGTCGGGCTACCATCAAATCTCGATACGCCCGCAACATTGCTACAAATCCACGTTCAAGACGCGGTACGGGCATTTTGAGTTGATCGTTATGCCTTTTGGCCTCACCAATGCCCCGACGACCTTTCAAGCGGCAATGACCAACGAGTTCCGTCCGATGCTGGACCGGTTCGTACTAGTCTACTTAGACGACATTCTCGTCTAGAGCCGGACATTGGAGGATCATCTTGAGCACCTTCGACGAGTATTGGAGACGCTCCGCCGCGCCAAGTACAAAGCCAACCGCGACAAGTGCGAATTTGTCCGGCAAGAGCTGGAATACTTGGGCCATTTTGTCACACCGGAGGACCTCAATCCGTTGTCGGACAAGATTCAAGCCATCCAAGAGTGGCCGGAGCCGAATAATGTCACAAATGTTTGTTCCTTCCTTGGCTTAGTCAGCTACTATCAATGCTTCATCAAGGGATACTCGAAGAAGATTGCGGCTCCGTTTTCCAAGCTTCAATGCGAGGACCGGCCATTCGACTTCGACGACAATGCGCGGACTTCCTTTTTGGCTCTTAAAGCCGCATTGCTATCCGCGGAGGTGTTGCGCATCTACGACCACTTTTGCCGACACGTGTCACTACCGACGCGCCCGGCTATGGCATTGGTGTCGTCCTCGAGCAACATGACGGTGTGGACTGGCACCCGATCGAGTACTTTAGCAAGAAAGTGCCTGCCGTGCACTCGATTGACGACGCACGAAAAAAGGAATTATTGGCCTTTGTACACGCACTCAAACGCTGGCGGCATTTTCTTCTCGGTCGACGACAGTTGCGATGGGTAACGGATAACAATCCCTTGGTCTTCTACAAGACCCAAAACACGGTCAATAGCACCATTGCCCGTTGGATGGCCTTCATCGACCAGTTTGACTTTTTCCCCAACCACATTCCGGGCAAGTCAAACCGTTTTGCGGATGCTCTTTCACAGCGTCCGGACCATTGTACCGCAGTCTACTCAACTTTTGAGATTCACGACAACTTGCGGGACAGCTTCATTCGTGGCTACCAAGTCGACCCCGAGTTTTGCGACAAGTACGCAAATTGCTCCTCTCCTAATAGAGGGGTACTTGCTCGTCCGCACACGGCTTCTTGGCGAGTTCCACGACGCTCCCGCCACCGGACACTTTGGAGTCAATCGTACGATTGGCCGACTCCGCGAGCGCGTTTGGTGGCCCGGTCTTCTCGACGACGTCACACGCTATTGCGAGTTATGCGAGGTTTGCCGACGTTGCAAATCCCGCAATCATCGTCTGTACGGCGAGTTGCGACCGTTACAGGTCCCCTTGCGGCGAAGGGAAGCGATTGCCATTGATATTACCGGCCCGTTCCCCAAGCACAAGATTGGAGTGGATGGGATTCTCACGGTGGTCGACCGACTCACCAAGTTTGCCATGTTTTTGCCTTGCCGCTATCATGCCAAGGCACCGGAGTTGGCCGAGGTTCTTTACGCCGATTGGATTCGAACCAAGGGTTACCCCAAGGAAATCGCCTGCGACCGCGACACTTGGTTCATGTCCGAGTTTTGGTTGGCGCTCATCAAACGATGGGGCTCATCTCTCAAGCCAAGCTCGGCTCGCCACCCCCAAACCGATGGCCAAACGGAGAGGGCGCATCACACCGCACAGGTTCTCCTTCGCACTCTCATCCGTCCTGACCAAAAGGATTGGGTTGAGCGGCTGCCGAATGTCGAGTTGGCATACAACTCGTCCATCCACCCAGCTATCAGGATGTCGCCCTTCGAGTTCGAGCACGGCTCGCCGGTCACTTCTCCGTTGGACACAATCATTCCACGAACGACCGAGAGCGACGACCATCTTCTTTTCTTGCGACGGATGCAAGAGCTACTTGTCAAGGCATGCGATCAGATGGCCAAGACGCAGCAACACATGAGCCAACAGGCCAATCGCCAGCATCTTCCTTGCCCATTCCGCGTCGGCGAACTCGTTTGGGTTTCCACCACGGAATTCAGCCTTGAACAAGATATCTCTCGCAAGCTCCTCCCGAAATGGACGGGGCCTTGGCCGATCGTGGCAGCCGCCGGGGATGCACCCGAAGGACCTTCATTCACCATTCAGGTGGCCGCCCACTTGCCCATCTACCTGGTCTTTCACTGCTCCAAGTTGGCTCTCTACACGCCAGTGGAACATGACGATTTTCCCAGACGATGATCGCAAGACCCACCATCTATGGACGACTTTCAAGAGGTCGGGGCCAACCGAGTACTTGGTACACTTTGCGTACTGCAGTCACCGAGCTGACCATTGGTTAACCCGTGCGGAACTCCAAGAAACAACTCCGGATGTTCTCACACGTAACGAATGTAAGATGCACGGCAAGCCGGTATCTTCGGCTCCACATCGCACCCGCATCCACGTTCCACCTTCAGATCGTCAGCTTCGCCCTCGCCCCGACTTGACTTCATAAGGAGGGGGGGGGGTTACATGCTGCGCCTGCAACAGGCTGTACGGGCCATTTCCAGGCCTGTGACGTTTTCAGGCCAAAAGCCTGAAAACAAGGGCCTACAGGCCCTGTGTCGTTTCAGCCCTAAAGCCTGAAAACAAGGGCCTACAGGCCCTGTGTCGTTTCAGGCTAAATCAGGGCATTTCTGGCCTTGAGTGGTTTCAGCCTGAAACTGAGGGCCATTTCCAGGCCCTCATGAGTTCGGCCTGCCCTGAAACTCAAGCACCAGACCAGGGTTTTAGCTCAGGCCATTTTTGGCCTATTTTCAAGACAACCTTTATTTGAGCTTCAACCCCAGGGTCTGGCACGTTGAGACATTGGCAAGAGCAGCCTCCCGGATGGGCCAGCACTATATAGGACTGGCCCGCCCTGCAGGCCGCAGGTAGTTCCTAGGTACTTCCCAGGCACTTCACGTGCACTTCAGGAGGCAAGAGGTAGTCTTCAGGATTCGGCAGCGACACTCTACAGGAGCACTGCAGGAGTAGTAGTAGCGTTAGCAGTAGTCTTCAGCGCTGGGCGCTAGTGGCGTTAACTGTAGTCTTCAGCGCTGGGCGCCATAGCTAGAGTAGTACTATAGGAGAGATTGGGCGGAGGCCAGAGGGACTTACCTGCAGCGCCATCGCTCCAGCTTCGTCTTCAAGGTACCTGCAGCACAGTGCCACCTTCACAGGTTAGTACCTGGCATATGAGAGAGAGAGTTCTTCTTCTTCCTCTTCCCAGTCCACCATCTCCCTCTTACCCTCTCGACATCTGACTTCACTGCACCAGCAGACTATGAGAGAGAGAGAGAGAGTTTGGTGACATTTGGATCCAGACTCGACATTGGACTTCAGACATTTTGACGAGGGACTATTTGGGACTTGTAACGAGACTCGGTGTTGACGACTTTCCCATCTCTCCCCTCCTCTTCGTCTGTGCATGGCTGGACCTGGCGCCTCTTCCTATGTATAGCGCCAGGCCCCTTCACACCTTGTGGCGAGAATGATGTATGTTTAGTCTGCATTGTGACATTGATTGAGCTCGTCATTAGTATTCTAGCCTTCTGCTGCGCTACTTGTACTACGTGAAAGGGGTCAGTCCCGGGCAGGTCAGGACTCGTATCTAAATCTTCCACTGCGCTATAAAACACCGTTATTGTATGTATCAGGATGTACACTGCTTGTTGAGATTTCACTAGCACTGCATTGTCCATTCAGTCCTTTTTATCACATTGCGGATCCTCGGTTTATTATGTACATTGCCCATCTGGGCATGTAACATGGGAGGAGTCGTGTGCGCTCAACCTTGAGAGTTGTCATTCTTCACGTGGAGCATCTGAAAGGAGACGGCGGTGCTATCTGAAGGGCACTGGATGAAGCACTGGGTCACGGTCACCATGCCAACCCACCGGGAGTAGAGCACGCATGCTTTGCTGCTTTGTCCTTTGTCTGCTCGATGCGCTGTAGAGGGGTTCTGAGGGGCAGGCCAGCCCCTCTGGGACAGACGAGACCGGGCGTCTATAAATAAGCATTGACGGGGTACCTTCCATTGGCTGTGATCGTCGTCCTGTCTGCGACGTTAAAGAATTCTTGAGGACTTCGGGGGCCGTCCATAGAAACGCCTTCTCATCAGCCAATCGGTCGGTGTAAGGCTCGCTACATGCGAGGATAAAGACTGTGCAGGGCTGGCCAGCTCAGCAGGACTCGGGGCACRRGGGTGGGCCGTGTGCACACCTTTAGACATGCACGCTGTTCCAGATTGCTCAGGGACGTTGACGACAAGAGACATTCAAGAAGAACTGAGGGAGGGGTAGATTCCAGGTGATAAGTTCGGGTAAGATTCCATTATGCAAACAGACCCAACAAATGATTCTATTTTTATTTTGATTAGTTAGATGTACAACCATTAACATCTGACAGACAGCATAGTTAGAACTGTTTTCTGTTCATTGTGCTTTCTGTTTACGAACTAGTCAAAGTCAAAAGTAGTTTCGTTTGTAGGAATCTGAACTTATCTGTTGGACCCAAATGTATCTACTCTGACGCAGCCACCGATTAATTATTTTAATTATTATAAATCGGTATGTGCACTACGCTGCGGTAGGCATCAAAGAGTGACCTAGTGCAGATCGTGTATGGCTCTGTAGATTATGAGCGATAGGGATACCACTAGTGAGGACGACCGGATCTTGCGATCGGCTAGATGCCCGATTGCCCAGGTGGCATTAGGACCCGAGGGTGATAGGTTACTGTTCCGCCAGCAAAGGGATAGGCAGCAGCAGCAGCGAAGAGCTAGGGCAGCCGAGGCCAGCACGGCGTTCGCAAGCGAAGCTGCAGCTTCAGCAGCCATGGCAACTGCTGCGCAGTAGAGTTCCCAGGCCAGCAGTTCAGGGACCGTAGGGTCAACGGTCGCGCAGACCCTGAGTCAGTCCACTGGCGTCATGGCAAGCCAGCCAATAGTGTTGACTTCCGATGAGATCGCCATACAGCAGGCAGCACTGCAGGAGGCACAGCTACAGAAGGCTTTAGGAGAGAGAAAAGCGGAGAAGGAAAGAATGATTAGAAGAAGAGCCCGGATGCAGCGGAGAGAAGCGGACGTCAGTGAGTTAGAGGGAATGGACCTGACGCACATGGATGCAGATGTGAGGAAGTTGGGGACAGTCCTGCTAGGTGTTGTAGAGATGCAGGACCACCACACTGCTCTCCTTCAGGACATCCAGCAGAGTCTGGCCTTGCTGGTCGGGCAAGCGCAGGCACCACCATCGCTGTCTGGGCCCGGTGCCTGGCCCGTTCTACAACCTCCTCCTTATGTCCCACCGGTGACTGGGGTATCCCCATATGTCTTCCCAGCATCGGTCCAAACCGTTTCCCTGGGTATCTCATTTGCAGGAGGGTTCTCAACAGGTCCTAGTGTACAGGTTCCTGTACAGACAGTGTTCTCCCAACCTCCGTCGTAGGTTGCCGTAAGCGGGCAGCCTGTTGTCTCGCAGCCTGCACAGCCGCAGGGTACACAGCCCCAACAGCAGATAGTGCAGCAGCCTGCTCCTCAGGGTCCACAACCCGGAATGGTGTAGGTACCAGGACAAAGTCAGTGGGTTCCGAAGATTGCCATCGCCGCTCCTAAACCCTTCACAGTGGACAAGAGGGGCGAAGACCTCGACACATGGTTGAGGTCAGTGCCAGTATGCGTCAAGTGCAAACTTACCTTGTCGCATGAGGAAGTGCTTGTGGCTGCCTCCTATCTAGAGGGGAGTGCAGGAAGATGGTTGAGTGGTTTAGTGCAGTTGCAGGGATACGGTCATGACTTCCGCGCTTGGGCGGTCACCCAGAAACTGGATGACTTCAGGAGGCCCAAAAGGCCACTTATGCGATCCTGACTCTGCATACTAGGCAGTTTAAGTCAATAAGGGAGGCCACAGACACAGTAGAGCGTCTGATCTGTGTCCCTAGGGTGCGCTATGACCCCCAGGTTTTACTCACCTCCTACCTGAGATGCTTTCCTATGCCTCTCAAGAATCAATTGGCAGGTGAGCCCAACCTTAACATGCACAACTTTCCCTCATTTAGCAAGAAGGCCCTAGACCTTGAAGCAAAGATAGGGCACGGTCAGACGCCTACGGCGGATGATAGGAAATAGACACTGCCTCCCAACTGGAAAGCGAAGGGACGCATAATGTTCGTCGACAATGATGGATCCACCATTGAGTTGGATGACGAGTTCCAGCCGGGAGTGGGTTCAAAGGCAGGCAACGTAGAAGCTTCAGGGGGTGGAGTAGTCGCTGTCGTAACTAATAAAGGTAAGGCGACCGATAGATGCCGTGGAGGTTCCCCGTCTAGGAGTCAAGTCGACCCCAATGCTCCTCCATGGGAGAAAGCGGGTCTCAGTGAGGACGTGTGGAGAGATCGGTACACGCGGCAGACTTGTATCCGTTGTGGCCAATATGGCCATAACCAGTTCAAGTGCCGAAATAAGAAGGTGACCTTCAGGACATTGAGTGTCTTTTCCTGTACGCGGGAGGGGAACTGAGATATCACGTCTCGTTCCTAGTGAGCGATGATCTCCCTATGGATATCTTGTTAAGTATGTACTACATCTTCGTTGCACAACCCAAGTTTGACCGGGACCGAAAAGTGGTCAAACACACTTTGCCACGTGGGGGGACCGCCAAATTACGTAAGTTGAAGGCTAGTAGTCTGATTGAGTCCTACGGATGCATGTGTGCGGCTGCGTTTCACAACTATTATAAGCAAAATCCGGAGGATGATATGTATCTAGTTTATGTCTCTGCAGCAAACGAGCCGGTGAAAATGCCGGGAGTAGTTGCTAAGTACCCTGATCTATTTGACGAGCCAACCGGGGTTGTCAAAAGGGAGGTCGTCCATGTGATAGAGATTATCCCAGGGTCTACCATCCCCAAGGGTAGGATCTATCGGATGTCTCAAGGCGAGCTTGACGAGCTTCGCTGGCGGCTCAAGGAACTCATAGAGAAGGTTGGATCAGGCCGAGTGTCTCCCCTTACGGATCACCAGTTTTATTTGTGCCAAAGAAGGGGGGTACGCTGAGGATGTGCATTGACTATAGGGGCCTCAATGCCATCACTGTCAAGAACCGAGAGCCCCTACCACGCATCGACGATTTGCTCGATAGAGTGCAAGGGTGTCGGTACTTCAGTAAGATAGATCTAAAGTCTGGGTACCATCAGATTGCAATACGGCCCAAGGATCAGCACAAAACCGCTTTTCAGACCACGTACGGTTTGTACGAGTTTGTGGTAATGCCTTTCGGCCTTTGCAATGCTCCTGGCACCTTTCAGACCGCTATGAATCGGATCTTTCATGACTACTTGGATAAGTTTGTCATCGTGTACCTCGATGACATACTTATTTTTAGTAGGACTGTCAAGAGCATGTTGCGCACTTGGACAAAGTGTTACGGATTACACCAGGGCTCGATCCCTGGTCCGCGGGATGCTACCCCCAGTTCACTACACACATTTTCTTTTCTTTGTTTTCTTATTTTTATTTTTCTCTTTGTTTTATTTTTCTGATTTTAGACACTTGGCGCCATCCGGCATTCTGGCGCCCATTTTCAAACTTTCGATTTTCAGTTCAGCCTTCGGCAAATTGCACTTCTGCCCGTTGGACTGAACTTGAGTCCGATACTTGAGATCGGACCCAAGCCCTGTACGGGCATTCAGTTTGCGGCCTCAGTGCTTGTGCTTCGGTGTGACTTGCTTCGACATTGTGTTCGAAAATCTAAGACTTCGACTTTGCGACTTTGCCACTTCGTGTTTGCGTCCGTCGAGTCGTGTTGAGTCTGTGTCGAGTTGAGTGAGTGTGTGTGTGTGCTCTCACTCTCTCCCTCTCTCTCCCAGCCTCGTTGCCTCAGCCCCGTCACACCGGTATCGGAGCGATTCGAACCCGCCCGACCCACCCTGCTTCGTCGTCACCACCTGGCCATCATCAACGTCATCGCCGTGATCGTCTCCGTCGTGCCACGTCATCATCATCATCGTCGCGATCGTCATCGTCGTGCCACGTCATCATCGTCACCGTCGCAATCGTCATGCCACGTCACCATCGTCGTGCACGTCGTCCTCTTCGCCGCGCCGTGCCATCCTCGTCATCGTCGTTGCTACCCCGCACAGATAAGTAATCGACGACAATTTTCTTTTTTTTTATTTTTTCTTTCTCCTTCTTCGTCTTCTTCTCCCTATCCTTTTTCTTCTTCTTCTTCTTCTTCTTCTTCTTCTCCTCTTC